ATGCATGTTAGGCTGATTGGTAACTCTAAATTGTCTCTAGGTGTGAGTGAGAGAGTGAATGGTTGTTTGTCTTGTTTGTCTCTGTGAGTCCCTGTGATGGACTGGAGAGTGTCCCCCACCCCTCGCACCATGACGGCTGGACATGGGAACCAGTGACCCAAACGACCCAAAAAGGAAGAAGTGGATAAAAGATAATGGAAGGATGGATGTTGGTGTACCTTTGCAGACAGGATTTATGGATGATCATGTAGCAGTCAGTTTTACCAAAGCAACACCAGAGCCATTTTGCAGTTTTTTCTTTCCTCATCTGTCTGATTGTACCATCGGTCACCTTTATGCTTTGACTGGGTGCTGACTGGTTTAAAAGTGAGAGGAAACTGTAAAATATATCAACAATACCAACCGCCACAAAATGTTATTATTGTTTTGAGAGAATCTTCAACCAAATGATCTTTCTCTGCAACTTCTTCTACAGTGGCCCTAAGAACAACATTTGAAAAAACGGAATTACATTAAGCCAAAGCGGTAGTAGCCCGAATCACATTAGAAAAAACAGAATTACATTAAAAAAAACGGAATCACATTTGAAAAATAAAGTTAATAAATAATAATAATAAATAAATAAATACATAATAATAAAGTTAATAAAGTAAAAAAAAAAAAATAATTAAAAAAAACCTTCCGCTTTGGCTTAATGTAATTCCGTTTTTTCTAATGTGATTGTTTTTTCAAATGTAATTCTGTTTTTTCAAATGTTGTTTTTTCAAATGTAAATTCCATTTTTTCAAATGTTGTTCATTTACACCTTGGGGCCACCGTATTCGTCATATTGTCTTTACATTTTGCATTGAGTTATGCACATGCTCCACACCTTGTTTCCTGTTTTGGGTGTATTTTAGCTGCAGCAGTTCAGTGCCAGATGCAGTCCTGCCACAGTTACTGTAGTGGTATAGTGTGTTGTAAATGAGGCCAAAAATTCAGGTAGGAGATGTGATGACGTTCTGTTTTAGTCATCTTAAATCAGAATCTATGTTACATAGTATTGATCTGGGTGATGTCAGAGAGATAAAAAAAAATCGAACAGAAATCCATAAATTTATGTGAAAAAAGAAAATTACAGATGTGCAGGAGTTTTGCAGAAACAATCTCAAACTTCCCAAATATAAAATTGTGGCATGTTTGACCTAATCCCTATGGTCTTACAGTGAAATTACAAATATTGCCCATTTGTGTTCTGTTCCTGGATCTCAGGGCCCTATATGTGTTTTATCAGTATTCCTTTGCTATGATTACTTTGTTTACTTGTGTTGTAGAACACCATTTTTTCACTTACAACATCTTCAAACACAAAGTAATTTTCCTGGACCATCCTTTAAAACAACTACATTACATACCAGAGCACGTTAGTTAGGATGTTTGTAGGTGCTGTGCACGGTTGGTGTGTCCTCACTTTTTGCTCCAGCTGTAGCAGTTAGCAGCTTCAGTTCACGTATATTCCACCTCCAGATGAATCTTCCTCTTTTTTTCCCAAGTATTCAGTATATTTTCTCAGTTTTTGAGTCTGCGCTGTCCAGATGGCTATCCCATATGTTGACACGATTCTATAGTCCAGAAGGCTATACACTCTTGTCAGCTTTATCTCTGTGATCGTCACAGATCCAGTTTTTTGTTTGATTTTCTCGTTTACTCTCTATCTTTCTTTTCTTTCCAGATAGCGTTTTGTGTCAGGGTTCCACTTGTGGCCCCCATGAGCTGGTGGATTCATAAGGCAAAGGGTGGAGATCTCTCAGGGTTCATGGCACCAGGACAGCATGACACAGCATCATCCCAGACCAGGTCTAAAGGTGTTGAGCGTGGCAGTAGGCCCCACTCTGCCGCACAGACTCCATCAACCAGCAATTCTATAATGCAACACACACACAAAAAAAGAATTACTCAACATTGTAAGTGTGGTTTACACAAAACTGGCAACAATATTCTCTAAAATTGTATACAAAAAGCCCTTATTTACTTTGAATAGAACTAAAAATCACAAATTTCTTCATGTAACTTGTGGAATAGCCCACCTCTGCTCTTGGTGAAAACTTTTTTCACCTTTCTATTGATTACGTCAGAACCAAAAAGAACTAATTTCAGCTTCTGCCTGTGTTCCCTCGGTTTGTGTTGAAGTCTTTGGCAGGTTTTAACGTGTGACTCTGTCTTTTCTTCAGATTACCTATCTTTTGAAGGCTTCAGGTTCTCCAAGCGATGTGCCCCTCATCAACTTTTTAAAGAGGTTTGCTCCACTATAAGACACTTTGCTCTTGAACTTATCAGCAGTAGTCTGCTCTGGTCTGGTCCCTGTTCATTTCAAACATGTGCAGCCTCATCTTTTGCTAATTTTAGGCGTTTTTCTAAACTTCCTTTTATCTCATAAGCCCTCAAGAAGATGCACAGTCAGTTAATTATCTTTTTTGAGGAGCATGCCACTCTCGAGGTTTTCCAATCCAGTTTTAAAACTCTCCACTGCACTGAATCGGCTCTTTTAATTTTTTTTAAAATGTTTTAGTTACTGACTGCGGTGATTGTGTCATCCTTGCGCTTTTAGATCTCACAGCCACTTTTGACACCGTGGTTTATGACATTCTGCTAACTCGTTTGGAGAAGTGGGCGGGAATTGGAGGTATTGCTTTGAAATGGTTAACAAAAAAAAAAAGGTATTTCATTCCATTGTTACGCAGATGACAGTCAGATTTATGTAGCTACTTCTTAAAAAGTCAGATGCATACTCCAAAAATTTGTTTCTTAGTGTCTTGAGGACATAATAGCCAAGATGGTGCTTAACTTTTTGATATGAATCCAAAACTGAAGTGGTGGTTTTTGGAGGTGCTGCTGGTCCCTCAATGTGGATTTAGGTTCCTTGGCCCAGTACAGCAAATTGACTGGGAGTAATTTGGGGGCTGAACTGGATTCTGAGCTTTAACTAGACAGCCAGAACAGGTCAGTTGATAAAATAAGATTTTATCATTTGAGGCAGCTAGCCACAATAAACCCATCCTTCCAAGAACACACAGTGACAATACCGAAACAGTAATCTATGCCTTTCTGGATTATTGAAAGACACTTTATCTGGGGGTTAGTGTCTCCCACTGCCTGACTGCTGAGTGTACAAAATGCTGCTGCAGAGCTTTTAACCAACATGACTACCTGTGCATTTAAGGATCCAATTTAAAATACTTTTATTTGTTTTTAAATCTTTAAATGGCCTTGCCCACTCTTCGTCTTTAAAGTGCTTCATATCGATAAACCCACCAACTCCATCAGCTGACCAGCTGCTCCTAAGGGTCCCTAAAACTAGACTTAAGCTCAGGTTGGAATCAGAATCAAGTTTTTGCTGCAGGACCTCCTATATTGTGGAACAAGCTGCCCCTCCAGGCCTATATTTCTTGTTTTTAAAACTCTTCTTCTGACTTGATTTTAATAGATCTTTTTAGTTTTATCTGCTTTTATTGTTTGACCCGATTTGATGTGTTTTACTGTTTTGTTATCTGGTTTTAGTTTACTTGTGTTTTGATTTTATTGTATGAGCCATGTTTCAGTACTTTGGTCGGTTGCATTGTTTAAAAGTGCTTTATAAATAAAGTTGGATTGTATTTGATAGGGACCTGTAGACCCTAGTACATTCAACTCTGTGATCATTTATGACACCCTAAATAATAAAAACACACTTTATTCATGTGGATTATACAATGCCTAAACATGATGGTCCTTAAACATTTGAGTTGAAGAAAAATTAAAGGTGAATTTAAACATTTTTTTTGTGAGAAATAAGTGCAATCTTAGCCTGCATGTCATTTAAAATGGGTTCACTTTTCACTTTTTTGGCTTTACTATTTAAAAAAGTAAAATCAAACGAAATGGCAATAAGGAGCAAAGACAAACAGTAAATTTATTAGAGATTTTCATAAGTTGTAAACTGTTTTCTTGCTTCATAATTACCTGAACTGTAACCAATATGTTAACTGTGTATATTTTTAGAGTCTGTTTTGATCCGTGGTCACCTTTAATACCAACACACAGACTGTCACATTCGCTCCACCAGAACCCTGTGATCCAAAAATAATCTGTTGTTTACAATCTATTATTAGTAGTTTATCTTTTGTCAGGAGGGACAGAGGAAGTCAGGGCAGGAATATTTCATTTTAAGCTGAGTCAATTCAAAACTGAAAAAATAAAAAGTCATTTAGTTGGCATCTTTAGAAAAGAGATCACTAACTCATCACAACTATAGTGAAGTCACTTTAGGCTGCTGAACACATTTAAAACAGAGTGGCTTCACGTTTAAAAAGTGCATTGAGAACACAAGATCTTGGCTGGACAGTTAATTTAATGTTCTTTAATTTAAAAAATAGGATGATTTGGTGGATTAAAACTTAGTGACATAATCACAAAAACTCCAGATTGAACGGAACGTTAATCTCAACAATAATAACCTACAACAGTAGTAGCCACAAATAGGATAAATCCTGCAGCAGCCAGTTTAGCTCAGTCTTTCAGAGTGAATCACTCTGAAAACTAAGCCTTGTTGATTACCTAACTTTCACTTCTTACTGTGTCCAAGCGTCTCCCTTACCTCTCGGCTGATGGACAGGGAAATCCACAAAAACTCCCAACTGTCAATGACACCAAAGTCCTGCAGCAGCAACAGCTACACAAAAAGTTTGAATGCAGACATGCAACCAGCTGACTGCCTGTTATAGTAAACCTCCAAATACCTACAGCTGTATTTATAGCTCTATCTATACCGCCGGCTGATTATACAGATCATCAGATTTTTGTGGGCAACAGCTCTTATTATTTGTCTCAACCAATTCCAGAAAATTTCCTAAGACTGTTAATCTCTGAAAGCCCTTTTGTGTATTTCTCATCAATAACAAGTTTTAGAGTTTCATATAAACGAGTATCAACAAGATGAAGAGTTTCTCCTTACCACTTCTGCACCGTCTTCTCAGAGCACAGAAAGAATGTCAAGTTTTCTGGCTCTTTGCCTTCAGTTTTCTTTCAGTCTTTTTCTGCAACAAGTGGCGGTGAGTCCAGCTGCAGATAGTAAAAGTTTTTCCTGCAGCAATCTGTAGTCCTACCTCTACTAAAACACAAAGAAACGCTGTGCCTGCTGGGAGCTTCCCTCTGCTGAGGATCTGCTGTGAGCTGGTCTAATCAGGCTGAGCGCCCATCTGACCCTGACAGTCCTGTCACCACCAGAACGCTCCAGACTTAATGCTCTTAGAAAGAGAGACGAACAGCTTCATAACTCTTTCTACTGCTCTTCTTCTGCTCTCCACTCTTCAGTAAATATATATATATATATACACACACACACATTATACAAATATACAGTATATATACATTGGTTTTAATGTTCATGTTTATCGCCAACTGCTAAAAGCAAAAGGCTAAATCAGGGGTCTGCAACCTGCGGCTCTGGAGCCACATGTGGCTCTTTAGTCCCTTTGCAGCGGCTCTTTCAAGCTTTGACCAAAACTGACATACAGTAAAACTGAATTTTATAGGATGTTACACCCACACCAAAATAATTACTAGTTTAAGCTGATTTCCTGCCATTTCCTTTGCAAATATGTGGATAATAATAATGCACAGAGTAAATTATGCTCACTTTAACTTTGTGCTTTATTTCTTATAAGTAGAAAACTCATTTTCTTCACAAAAAATAGAGAAAAAAAATCACATATGCTTGTACAGTTCATTGTTTTAGTTTTTTAAAAAGTGGCAAAAACAATATATTTTTTTTTTCTTTACAAGAATCCAGTCTTCTGTTAGCAACCTGTCCAGAGTGTCCGCCGCCTCTTTTCGCACAGTGACTGATGGATATGGGCACCAGTGTCCCCCGCAACCTACAAAAGGAAGAAGCAGGTAAAGAGGATGGATGAATGGAATCCAGTCTTTTCTTTTGTCTCAAATTGTAAAAATATCAATAAACATTATCCATCATTAGATGTTTTTTAGTTTTATAATTTCACACCTAATGGCCACAAAAGCTCCCTCTAATAAACTTAAAGTGGCCCATGGGCCACCAGTTGATTATGACAATTATAGCAGGTATTGCGACTCTGCACACATTTGATGTAGTGAACGAAGGGGCAAAAATGGCTCTTTTGATCGTAAAGGTTGCAGACCCCTGGGCTAAATGCTTGTACCTGTGTGTTTGTGTGTGTGTGTGTGTTCTATTAGAAAAATCTCTCATGAATCACTGAATTAATTTTATTAAGACTTTCATAAATTAATCACTAAACTTGTCTACAACTGACTACTTTTGGAGTAAATCCCATTCAAAATGGCCGTCACGGCAAAGGAATCTTAGCAAGCACAAAAACGATCATAGCTCTGTCCATTTTACAAACATTGGGATAAAGATTGGTGAGGTTGTAACTAAGATTGTTCCCCAACTTATATCCTGAGGGCCAGTTGTGCAAGATGTGTGCTTAAATCTTTGCCATTAACTATTTTCATTGGACTTTGTTGGAAAAACACCTTATGAACCACTAAACACATATAAATAAAACTTTCAGAAAATATGAAATATACTTTAATCTGTAACAAATCATGTGAGATGTGATATTGCACAAGACTGGAAATTATTATTTTCAGTGTTTGACCAATGCGGCTTTAACCATATGATCACAGTCTAAAACAGAAACCTGAAAGGTGGAAGACAATATGCATTCCTTGAAGGAATGCTTGACCTTTGATCCCCTCAGAATTGGTTGCAGCAGGCATCAAATGCACCCTGTTTTGTTTTCCCACTCGTTCCCCTCCGTGAATCTAAAAATAGATGGTTCTTTGAGCTACCAAACAGGCTGATCAAGGGAACTTGTTGAGTCTCACTTAATGAAAATAACTTAATGAGTTTTGCGTCTTGACAGATGAGAAGAGTGTGTGCTAAATTTACAGTTGAAGCTCTCTGTGGTCCTGCATTCCACACTGTACGTGTGTTCAACACATCTGTAGATGTGCAAGTACACAGAGTCACATGACATTTAGAACATGCAAAGGACAACACGTTCTGCTCTCACCTCTCTGTCAGTCCCTTTGAAATGAGATTGTTAACTCACAACCCCACAAATAAATAAATACAGGTAAACAAACAAATAAATAAAACTGTTAAATAAACTAATAAATAAACTAACTAACAAACAAACACATAAATTAATTAATTCATAAATACAGGTAAATAAATACAGTAAACATAAATAAACAAACAAATAAATACAGCTAAATAAACAGATAAACAAACGCATAAATAAATAAATAAATAAATAAATAAATAAATAAATAAATAAATAGCAGTAAACAAATAAATGAACAAATAAATAAATGCCAGTAAATGAATAAATAAATGCCATTAAATAAATAAATAAATAAATAAATGCCAGTAAATAAATAAACAAATAAATGCCATTAAATAAATAAATAAATGCCAGTAAATAAATACATAAACAAATAAATAAATGCCAGTAAATAAA